CTAAAGATTACTTTGTGGGGCTATAAACGTCTGTTAAATGAAATGATGAATTTTTGAAGAGTTTTGAAAATGGAAAAAATGATAATTATGCTGGCCCAGCATCATCAACATTGAAAAATGCCCCTGCATGAAGTGGTTAACTATTTCGTGCCGGGGTGCCCGGTTTCGCACACATAGGCTTTATACATGAAGCCAGGGAGCCCAAAACTGGATAAAAGAGCTGAGCCTTATAACAAAAGACTGTACTCAGAACAAAAGACCGAGCTGCTGGAAATTGCCAACATTTTTTCACTGGTCAATAGAGGAGGAAATCCTTCATTGTTTTGAAAGATTATATCGCTGTTTGCGGCATTCAGCTTTCCAGTGATGAGCGATACAATACCGCTGCACGCTAATCTGGCCCCATTGAAAAGACGCCAGCCGCACATTGTGCCAGTTTCGAGAAGATATACACTTTTCCTTTTAGTTTTCAGTGATCTTATACATGTACCTTGCTTCAATTCCATATATTTCTCATACTGGTCTTGTTCCAGAGCCGGGTAGCAGAGCACGGGCCTGGCTTTCAAGCTTGGCGGCGGCCGGAGGTAAGGATGGTGGCACGTGCGGGAGGTGTGGACAGTGAGGATGTAGACGCAGGATGAGGGCTCGTCCACGCGGAAGATGGAATCGCCCTGCCCTTCCGCACATACGAACTGAGGGAGTCAAATCGGGATGTTCATTTTACCTGACTCAAATTCACCTAAGCAAGACTGTTTCTCAGCAATGGGTTTGGTATTGAATGTGGATGCACAGCTGATAAAAGAAACAAGTACAGTCATTAATATAAAAAGATCATTGGAATTTTTTTGTCATCAAAGTAACCTTCACCACACTTTCCTAACGGCATTGATTTGTGGCTAGAATCTCACGACACACAACTCAAATCAAATCAAAATTGTGATTGAGTGCATCTGGTATGAATGAAATTAAGTGTAACTTTGTGTTGAAAAGCAGTCAAGCAAGTTGTTTGGACAAGTTCACTTTTGCTCTTGAGATAAAATACCAAGCAATCAGTTTCGAAACTGCAACCTTTTCAAACTGAGAAATGAATCACAGCTTCCTTGTAAAACTGCAAAAACTTTACAAGTGAAAGTGAAAGTTTTTATTCTTATTAACAGGAGGTACCAGGGACACAGTGCTTGGTAGTGTAGTCCATTTAACACAGAGGAAAGCACAAAATTCAGTCACATACCCGGACTTCCGTCTCTCGAGGTTTTTTCGTTATGTCACACTTGGTGCCATTGACATAAGTGTGGCTGTGATAACGATTCAACCTGTGTCTCTTGGCATCCTGAAAACGAAAAAAAACCTAGTTCGTTTCCCTCGAGTTATACATTAACTACTAGAAAGAGACTTTATCTTTCAACAGGTTGGTATCACTGTCATGGAGGACAACCTTCCTTTAAAGCTCCTGATGTCTGACTTAAAGAGATTTCATCAAATTCTTACATTTGGAAACCAAAAATCCCATTTGATAACATTCAAAGGTAAGTCTAAAAGAGTACATAAAAAGATTGGAAAGCAGTTTTGGGAACACTCTATCACCGTTCGAGTTCCAAATTTCTTTCAATTTGTCAAACCTCTTGGTCCCTAAAATTTGATCGATTATTGATGCATACATCAATGTTTTTGATACATGTAAATTTATAACATCACATCTGTGCCAATAAATATTCACTTGCAGGTTAAGAGAGGTGACTGAGGCGAATGATTTTGCTCAGGGACACCACAGCAACAAAAACATACTATCGGATCATGGCTATGTGCCACAGAGTGAAGGTCATCGATTTCAAACAGAGCCACCTACCTTGTGTGTCTTGTTGTTCCAATCCATCTCACTCTCGTAGTGGCCCAGATATGCAACATCTCCCATGATCTTACCGTCTTCTAGGTGGTACTGCTTCACAAATCTGCCGTGACAGTACTCGTAACTCCACCAGTCCTTGGTCTGTGCTCACCGGAAGAGAAACAAAACAAAATAAAAGGACTCTGGATGGACACCGAGCACGAGTTTCCCTTCAACAGTGACACAATGAAAGAAGGCTTACACTTGCAACGTCATTGCTTTGGTGTCCCTCATTTCAAGATTTGAAGATGAAAATATGTTGCGTACGCTTCACACCACAGGTGCGCAAACTGGTTTCTAACACATTGAGTTTCAAGGGACAGTAAGACCTTCAACTGTCCATGGAAAGAGTTCCAAACACAACAGCAAGATATGTCTACAAAATCCTTCCTTACCCCAAGCCAATCCTGTAACTCTGAATTTTGAAACTTACATTATGATTCTACTGCAAGCACAAAATCTTAACCAATCCCAATGAAGGCTAGCTTTTCCTCACTGATGACCCTCAGCATTGCAGTGCCAATCCCAGCCCAACCCAACCCAACACAAAAAACCCTAACTGATTCCAAATCCAAGCCCTACCCTGCACCCTAGCCCAATCCACCCCGATCTAAGGCTCCATGACCTACCTTGACCAGACAAGGTGCATTCTCCATGGGTTTCAGCAGCTCGGAGATGCCCATGTCAGTGGCCAACTTTTCCTCTTCCTGGTCCTTCTCGTAGTCTGTCATGTCTGGCAGCTGGCACTCGTACTGCTGGCCAAACTTGGACCAGAGGTGCATGACCTCCTGCTGGACAGGCTGGTTGACAAAGAAAACCAACTACAGCTGTAGTAGTGACTGAATCAACTTATGTCTGTGAAGTTTTCAGCCAGAGGCCCTTCCACTTGCTGCAGACTGCTTGCTGACTACACCAATCAAAAAGGTAAGAGGGCCCAAAGGAAGCCAAACTCTTTTCAAGCGACCAGTGGAATCCATCAAATTTCAATAAATGCAGAGGATGACTCCAGACAGCTCTCTGGCACCGTGGTCACCAACCACAAAGTAACCTTACATTGTCACGATCAGCCCACGCACTCTCCAGAGAGCCTTATGATGCAACATCAAGAGCCCTTTACACGAATTACCGGTTGAGGTGTGGTCTGACATACTTTGTATAATTTAAGTTGTTTTTTAATTCAGACAATTTCATTTATTGAAATATACAATCATTGGTTTTCTTCCCATCTGTACCCCTTAAGGGTGGGAATTTATGTTTAATTTGAAAATTGTTTAGAAAACTTTCTCATACAGTTAAACGTTTAGCCAACATTTTACAGAGACCTCTGCCGCCTACCTCAGTGTTTTTATATATGCGTAATTGTAAAGTTCAGCAATACACATGGTCCAACCAATGTAAACATGTAGATTGATGTTGGGGCATTTAAAACAAGCAATGTTTATTGTTTTAGAATATACTTTTTTTCTCAAAAGTACATGGATGCCGGATGTTTGGGAAAATCTCTAAACGGATATGGAACTTTTTTCGTTTAAATGTGTAAACGTCTTACCCTTTGTACCACTACACTTAAAATCTTTTTTTTTTCTTAATAAAGAAAAAACAAAACGAAGCACATGATTAAAACATCCATCCCCAAAAGTCAGGCTGGTGTGGTCAGATTGGGGGAGTCAGGTTGGCATGGTGAGTCCACCTCTGCAGTTGAGGTTCAACTCCTGGCTCAGTCCATGTGCGGATAGGGTTTTTAGTCCCTACCTTATTCTGTGGGTTTTACCCAGAATATTTCTCTGGGGTTTTCCTCCCACCTCTAAACTATAACTGCCTCTCATTGTCTTCATTCTGTTCATTCAGGTTTGTCGGCTAAAGGGCTTAGGGTACTTTTGAGGAATCCTCTCGTTTCATCTTTTAATTATCAATGTAACTTTGTTTTCGCGCAATGGAATTCATACATCATAGTGCAACTTCAGACTTCTTTTCCCTTTACTTAGGGACAATACAATTTAATTTTTATTTCAGGAACACCAGGGATGTTGGTATGCATGTTATGGAGCCCCGAAGAATGCTGATTTTACACTGTTTTCAATGGGGCTTAATTCAGTGGCAGTGTTGTAGTCGAGTACTTTTTTCCAAGTACCAAGTACTGCCGAGTACAAAGACAGGTCGAGTACTTTGTCAGCCATGTACAAGTACTGGTTTCCGACTACAAGTACTTACACTGCCGAGTGCGAGTACTAGTACTTCTAATTCCAAGTACGAGTACAAGTACATGTACTTCTAATTCCAAGTGCGAGTACATGTACTACTAATTCCAAGTGTGAATACAAGTACTACTAATTCAAAAGTAGTTTTATCTTACTTTAGAGATTCTAAAACCTGCCACTGTGTAAAATAAACACCGAATGCAGATGACATGGCTATAAGAACAAATGATCTGGCTAGCAATGTCACGGTCACTACACGTGCATTTTAGCACTGAGTTGACACAACATGCACAGCGAAGCAAAATCTATTTTCCAAACTCAATTATTCACATGCCTAAGAGTTTCTGTATGCTGGGTTCGTCGTTAGAATTTTTGGGTCCAGGAACCAGACTACCAATGCCCAAGTAAAACACGGGACCATTCTCGAGTACCACAACATAATTCGCGTACATGATTGGTTAAGTACACAAAAAGACGGCGAATGGGTCTTATACGTTAATGGTCCCATGTTCAGGCCTTCTTTTTGTCAGAACCGTATCGAATATTGGGTCATTGGGGTTGATATTTTTGATATTTTAACAGCCGTGGTATCCAGTACGAGTACTTTGATGCTCGAGTACAATTTTTGGATGTTGGGTTCCAAGTATTTTGTAGCCTGAATACAAAAACTGTAGTTCGAGTATGAGTACTTGGACGTCTGAGTACAAGTACGAGTACTCTGAAAAGAGTTCTCGAGTAGTACTCGAGTACCAGTACCGAGTACAAGTACTACAACACTGTCCAGTGGACTGCACCCTTAAATTCCCTTCTAAATGTCACTTTTTAGGTTATGAATGCTATTGCTTCCAGATGGCTAACAGATACATGTACTTAGTGACCACTAGTCACTTCTCCAGAGTAAGTGACTTAGAGATCTCCAAGCTGCTAAAAACTACAAGGAAAAACGGTGGCCACTTAAAATTAAAGCTGAAAACAGCTACCAAAAAGCTAAAATGTAAAAGTTCCCATACTTTTGTACAGACCAGATGTATAAAAAAGCAGAAATTCAGGGTCAAAATCTAAACAAAAAAGCTGAATTCTCACACCCCTCGTAGGGGTTATAGGGTCATGCACACCCTGGTTGAGCTGACCGTGGCGGGGCAGCAGCTGAGCACGCAGAGCTCCTTAACTTCTTGTGAATTGAAGGACCCCTTCTTGTGTTTGGAAATAAGTTTTGTTACAATTCTAGAGCATTTTGGTTACTTTTTCTTGAATTATATCAATACTTTAATGTGTGGGGGAAACCTACAGGACAGCACTCCACTTCTCCTACCTTGTAACAGTCAACGTGGAATAGTCCACAAAACGTGCACGCCTTTATTTCAATATCTTCATTCTCTAAGTTAAATATAACAAATTGGCCATTTTTGGCAACAACCCGCTTGGCTGAGCGGTCTAAACTGTGGAGCTTGAAATCAAGACTTACAGAAGTGAAATAGGTTCAAACCCCAGATTGGAAGGGAGAATCCTTGAGATAAAGAGGAGATGGTAAAGACAAGGAAACAAAAAGTGGAAGACAGGTACTGCAGGGAGAAAGAGGACAGGAAGGAAAGAGGGGGGAGACTGAGGGAAAGAAGGGGACACCCTTTTCCCCCCGAAAGCCCACCCCTTTTTCTTCCCTTAGGATTTTTCTTCCCCAACCCCTCACCCAGGCACCTCATAATATGTTCATACTTTATTCTTCAAATTGATGCAGAAAAAAGGACAAAATTTGGGGGGTATTGAAGTAAAATCGTTCCGTAAATTTCACCATTTTAATGGGCTATAATGTAAACGAACCCCCCCATCCCATATCAAATTGTATCCCAGAAGACGTCATGAAATCTTAGGAATAAATAGTAGTGACGGCAGAAAAATTCTGTACAAACTGAAGTAGCACCATTTCAGATCTGCACCATTTACATTGCTATATGTAAGCATGGAGCTGTAAGGTTTGTAAACCTCGAGTTACTGTTCTGGAAGTACGTACGGCAGTGAGTGCACAGCATGCAGTCACGGCATTGGGATCATTGGCAGTCTCAGCTCAGCATGATCAGTACAGAAATTATGATTCCTTACCCTGCCACGAAGTACGGGAGTTGCCAAAATATCTATATCATAATGAACAGATTTCAGTTCTTCTAGATCCAAGAATGCAAAGATGTTACTGCAAAATAACGAAAAACTGCAGCAAAAGACGAGGAAACATCTCTCCCAAGTGAGTCTTGCCATCTTCTTCGTTTATTTTCTTTTGGCTGCGAACTAAACGGTACATACCAGAACGAGATTCTGCTCTTCTCCTATATACGGCGAGAGGTGGCAGCAGATAGCGCGCACGGTCGACTCATTAGAGATTGTGAATACAGGCCTCTTCATTTAGCTGCCAGTGATAAATACCGGCATTTTAAAAAAATGGTGATCGCGAGAGCGAATGTGAACTGGGTACCAAATCCACTGGGCCAACCCAGGCTTCGAACCCGGGTGCAAAGCGAGGAAAGAACCGCTACGCTAACCCGCTCTCCCGGGCCTATTCATACCTAGGCCTGCAACCTTATAAATGTTACGCAAATGTGGTCCGTGATTTCGCTACTGTTCATTTCTTAAGAATTGCCGCCTTATTCAGCTATTTTTACCAGCGGATGTAGCAGACACAATGTAAATCCAGTTGTCAGCTGGACACCATTTGGATCTACTGAGAGCGTTGCGCGAGCGTAAAACCGTGGAGGAATGATGCTGCGCCGAGTGGTGCAGCCTGAAAAACAGACTTGAACCCGATACTTATGAACCACAAATTGCTCTCATTCACTTCAATCTCATGTTTCGGGGGGGGGAGGTTCTTAATTTTGTTGGTACTCTTTCAAATTGTGTAATCTTTACTTGTAACTATTGAAGTTGTCACTTGATGTTAACGATCAGGGACGATGGATCAGCTTGTAATGGGAGTGTAGATTTGAAATGATAGAAACATCCGCCACGGTGTTTGAGGATGACATTTTTTGTTACGTTACGAACGCGTCGACCTCGAATGCTACAATCTTTATTTTAAAAATCACTCCTTTTCTCCAACGTGGGTATTTTGGGGGGAAAACGAAATTTCCATTTTTTTCAATGACCTAGTTTTTCTAGTGAGGAAAAATGCATACAGCAAAAGCCACCAATATGGTGGCAGGGGTACCGCTGTCTCTTATCAGAATCCTCTGATCCTAGACAAATTCGTTGTACATAAGAAAACAGTAACATTGACATTTCAGTTTCATTTTTGTTCTATCCTCCGTTGCCAAGCACGGTATTTCATCCCAAAAAAATGAGAAGTGCTGGCCTAATAAAAGATGAAGAACATCGCCACGGGTATGGGTCCTCCGAATGGGCCAATGCATGAGAGTTTGCATGGGACTGTAAAAATGAAGCATGCATTGAAGCTTTGAACATGACCTTGTACTTTGGATGTGAACATCATTTGAGTCATATTCTGCTATGGAGTAAAGCCATCTTTTCTTAACACCCGTAAAATGTACACAAAAATAAACATTGATCAGATCGTCCCCAGCTTTATCTGGAATCCCACCCGTGGCGTATCTAAAATTACTCATTCCCCCTTCCCTCAAGAGAATTGGCAATGCCGTTTCTATAAGATGCTGACTCTTTCAATTTCTAAAATAAACACTGGCAAGACATCGGGATGACTAATCCCCAGCTCTCGCTGGTGAAACGCCACTGAAATTCACCAGTTAAAGAATCGACCTGACAATGCTTCCCTCTTCTGATGGGACGATTATAGGCAGCAAAAACAATAATTTTATAACCATATGGGGGCATATCTTTCCTGCCAAAACTTTAGAAGAATGGTAGAAAAATGTCTGCAAGGTGTTACGCCAAATCTTCATTCACAGCCGTAAAAGACCTTTTTCACCCACGTGACTGGATTGCGCTAAATGGAAACAATACCACCACCTTTGGCCACAGTGATCGCATATCTCAAATAAGTAGATAACCATCACAACACCATCACTTATTACCGTCATAACACATTGAGCACGATTCAGTCATCTCAGGTAAAAGGTCTATAGTCTTCTCTCGTTGCAGGGCTGCTCCCAATTTATTCCATCCTGGTGTTTTCTTTTAATAGTACACGTGGTCGTCGAGCGGTACAATGCGCGAAATTTGAAGCATCTGCATTGACACGCACAAAGAGGTGGTTGTGCAGTCAGACTTAGGCTGCATCCGAATCTCTTGTCCAGAGCTAGGTCTTGGTATTCACTCCATTGGAAATGCATGGGGACGCGCAGACAATAGACCTAGCCGTAGCTCTGGAAGCCCGTTTCGGACACGGCCCTGGCCTTGGTCAAGGCGTTCGTTATTCGTCGCAGGGCCGGCAGCGCACCAGCCGCTCGAAATCAAGGCGAAGAGCGACCTCACGCGGTCTAGGATATATGCAAATTGTCTGATTTCCCTATTTCTGAGACCACGTGAGGTCGCTCTTCACCTTGATTTTGCAATGTATGCAGGTACGTGCGGACGTGTACTTTATGATAAAATCTGGACTCGCAATGCCCTTAATCAGCTTATAGAGACCATTGAATCCACTCGCGGCCATTTTACCGAGCTGAATACAAAGTTTTCCTGGCAATGACCGCCTTTGTTCTTCCTGAAGTCGATAGAAAGGAGCCAACCCACGCATTTGTATTCGGCTCGGTAAAATGGCCGCTGGTTGACTTCTTCTTCATACAATTACCGTAAAGGCGTTGCAACTCCAGGTTTTTATGTACGTCCGTGACGCAGGTACAGTACTAGTCTGGTTCCCTGTCCAAAGATTCCCCGACGACTCTTGACAAAAATCTTAGGTCAGGTATCGACTACATTTAAAAATAGAGCATGACATAACGTGTCAAGGGTCAATCCACAGCTGATGATGGTGTCTTCACTGCATCAGATCATCTTGTTGACGCCATCAATAGCAGCATTTCAAATATAAGGCTCTTGCCAAAGCCTGTAGGTAATACTGCAAGTGTATCGCCACTTGGTGCATGTTTGAAGCACAAGGCTTGCATTGGTTTTAAGTAAGTGTAGGCCACAGCTCGCCTAGCGTTAATTGTAGCCAAGGCGAACTTTGACTTTAATGAGAAATCTGGGAAAACTCCACGTTGAACACCCAACATTGTCTATAAATGGGATGGAACAAGCACATACCGAAAGTCGTTAAATAACTGAGTCGCACGCCGTTAGCGGCATAAGCCATCGAATGACAACGAATAAGCAATGAATGACGAACACCAAATTGACCAGGGCTAAGTCATACCTAGCCTAGCGTGCTTCTGGAAATCTGTACCTTGCATGTATCATACAGGAAAGACCAATGGATATATACATCCTTGGGCGCCGGAACTGGAAGGGGCTGGGGGCACCCCCCCTACACACACACAACCACACTTTTTTGAGACGCGAAAAAAAATATAAGCACGACATTTACACTGCACCTTTTCTAAGTTTGTTCAGAAAAGGCTAGTTTTTTAAACGTTTGGAAAGGCACAGTTTATACGCAAACTTTGCCTGATTTGTCTTGATCATCCGCCATCTTTTCTGGTCTTGGGGTGCAGATTCCCAATTCAAGGAAAATTCTCCGCCAGGCGGAGGCGCACAAAAAGTACCCCCACATATTCTTTTGAAAAGAGGGGTCTGTCTGGGCCAAGAAATGGTGGGATTGTGTCAGTATGGCCTGGGATCATCTCTGTAGATTCAGGGGCACCCATCTGGGGGCAAAGCAGACAAAAATGTGATTGAAAATTTGTCAGAAGATCCCGCGGAAGGTGAGGGATGTCATTTGAAAAATGGCCGCTGGGAAGACTTGGGAACATTGACTGTTTGGGGTGGGTTTGTTTTGGGCGGATAATTAAAAAATTCATCGGTTAACCTACTAAAAGTTGAAAATTGTATGAAATCTGAAGGACCAAACAACACATTGTTTTTTGTTCGAGAGGCCTCAGGGACTTCAGTTGCCTGCCATGAGGCTCCAAACTTGGTTGATTTTACACTATTTTCAATGGAGCTTGAATTGGTTCAGTGCACCCTTGGACGTCGCGTCAAATTACGTGATGTTCTTGTGTATGTTGTAAATCCATAATGCGTTTGAGCGGCTACTCCTGACAGCTTGATAGGATGCGTGCGCATTATATTTAGACTCAGTACATGCACATGTATACACGTACTCCCCGCATGCCCCCTTGGACAACAGGAGTATCTCACTCGACTGGTAGCCCTGGTAGGTGGTTGCGCCGCTACGCGCGCTAGGGGTGTGTGTTCTTAAAATTCTTGTAATTATTTCACTTTGTAAATGCAAGCAGATTTGGGGCCAAATAACAGAAGCAAGTGGCCCTCGAGCGGGCCCCAAACCCCACGCCGCGGCTTCGCAAAAATTGGTCACCTAGGGATGGAAAGCACTCGTGCCCCCACTTTTTTTATACCATAAGATGGGCCTGACGAGCAGATTAGCCGGGATAGGCTCTAGTCATGATGATCTTTAACCTGCTTGTTGTTTATCGTAGGGGTTCGAGTTTGTAGCTCTATGGTTCGAGCTAGGCTCGTGGATATTCGTGGATATGTGAACAGATGTATGCTAAGTGCTAATGAGCTGCTTACTTTTTTTTTTAAACAAAAACCTATCATCTTTCCCTCAACGTGTTACAGCAAACAGCGCCTGACATATAGCTCTGAGAATGTCTTACAGCTTTTAGGGACTATTGTGAAGTCAGAAACTTGCCATCATTATATCGATGATTGCTAAAGTAGTAGGACAACTCTTCATTCTCGAGTTGTAACAAAGTATGTCTTCAAGTGACTGCTTGGTGTGCGAGTTCAGTGCCCCCTTTCTTGTTTGGGTAGCAGGGGTATAGCTCTTGCTACCCTCAGGAGGTTATTATCTGGCACGAAATGGAACAAAGGGGTACCCCCAAACAGTCCAACCCTTATAAACCACTCTAGCCTATTGTTACTTAACACCCTCCCCCCTCCCATGTCTGAAAAGAATTCCTGAGATACCAGTATAACAATGACTAACACAAAGGCGCGGGGGTTGGGTTCTCTCTGTCCCATAGTTTGCATCAAATGTAGGAGGTGATTGGCCCTGCTCGTGCGAGATCGTGTTTGCACAGTGTCCTGTCCATTGTTGTCTGCGTCGCACAGTTCATGCTTGTATGTGCTTGTTCAGTCAGTCATCCTTGGAAATGTTTGTTGTGATATGTCACTAATGTCCGTTTTTTAGTCTTTGAGTTTGTACACAGGTCCAAAATGAATGTGCGACTGCCTGGCTGACTGGATGTGCGGCTGACTCGATGTCCGACTGCCCGATGTGCAGGTTGAGTAGTTTTTCCTTGTTGTTCAGGTAGCAGGGGTGGCTCTTTACCCTCAGAATTTGATCGACCCTGCCCGTGCGAGATCACGTCTGTCATTTTGCCTGTATATTCGGCGTTTTGTGACTCGTTCGTGTATGTGCATGTTTTGTTCTGTCATTTCAACAAAAATGTTGTTTCCGCAGTCACTAACTCTTGTTTTAGTGTTTGTGTTCGCATGCAGACACTGACTGGATGTGTGACTGCCTGGCTAACTGAATGTGGGACTGTGTGGCTGATTGGGTGTGTGGATGCCTGGCTGACTGGATGTATGACTGCCCGTTTCTTCATTGCGGATTCATAAAATTTAGGATAGAACATTTTTATCAGCAGCCCCAGAATTATGAAATACATTAGTAATTACATGTAGACACCCCAAAGTTCGTCCGTGTTCCTATAAAGAAAAGAACTTCGCTTTTAAGTTCTTTAATTGGTCATATTTGCACTGATTCCTATTTTTACTGTTGTGTAGTGCATGGTTTATATTGCAATGCTAATCACACAATACAATTGTTTAATATATATTTCAATGTGAGCAATAGGAACGAGAAAAATGCTGTCTGACAGAACAGCCAGGAGTTATCAACTAAATTTGTAATATTTTTACAGCGTACCATCTTGTTTATAGGTGTTCTTTCAATACTATTCTTTACGAGCTGGCTCTAATTATTTGTAAAAGTTGGCAAAATAAAAATAAATAACAGATTTTTTTTCTCCTCCGGCTTCATCTACGTATTATGCATGAGTAAGATCGCATACACGAACGTGTACATACAACTTACTTTGTTATACCACTGTCATAGATAGTGAATATTCATCGGTTGCGAACTGACCACGTGATATGTTACAAGCGTGCAAGTATCATTCACGCGTCGCGCGCACGGGCGGTGTTGCCGGGCCACAAAAAATGATGGATCACGGTGATCTTTGTGTCATGCAATTTAGGTGCTACTTTACTCGTGGAACACAAGTGTGCTCTGATGACTGCTTCTGCTGCGATTGTCCATGTTGTTTACATAAAACGCTCATGCCATTGTATCTTCTCGTCTGCTCTTCAATCTTGTCAGTACCTTTCAACGGATCATGTTGTAAAAAATGTCTTGAACTTCAACCACTCCACAAAACCCCAAATATTAGTTAATGAATTACAGGTTTCCCTGTTGAACAATAAGTCTTAGATTTCTCCTCCTACAAAAAATTAAAAAATCGGTCAACAAAGGACATCACAATCAATAATCTTCCTTGAAATTTATATCTTCTTTACCGTTCATCTGTTTCAATTTGTCAAAATGTTTTAATTTATCTTGCAATGAAATATGCGTATACATGTATTACAGATATAAGAGCGTTCCGGTGAAATCTTTGACCATGGTATAACAAAACAATTGTTGCCTGCAATGACGGGGTCCATGGGTTTTGTACACGGGGGGGGGCAAATGGCACTCGAGGCGAAGCCGAGGGTGTCGTGTTCTAAACACATTTTGAGAGAGGAAAAATATCGTGAGGTCCCAAACTGAACGATACTAATTATCTTCTTAGACTGTTCTGCACTATGTGCATTGTGGCTCGATGCTGAAGAAATAAAAATGTTACTTGGACCATCCTGGTTACAGGGGCCAAACCACATCGCTTTTAAATATTGGTACAAGCTTATAACAATGAAAAAAATTGTCCCAAACCCACAAATCAACCAACTCGCAATGATGAACATTAATGAGCTGATAGGAGTCAGCTTCCTTAACTGCAAATAGCGCCCTCAATAAACTCAATCATTTGTGTTCATGCAGTTTAGCATGCAAAAATCTGGCCCGCCCCCTTTCGACGGAAAATGACAGGACACGTCATTTTCATCGGCGGATCAATCGATAAGCGAGGGGGGTAGATGTCTAAAAGTGAAGAATACCACTTTATCTTTTAATCTTTTGATTTATCAAAAGAACGCATGAAATCATGCGTTCAAGAATTTTATTGGATTTCTTTATCAAGGCAATGTGCTTTGATGAGGGAAGCGCTGACTGATTTAATGAGTTAAAAAGCCGTTAATTGCACTGCGGTTCCAACCAGACTGAAAGTGGGCCTAGGCACAGAATTCCCTACCAATGACAACATACATTGTATGTGTATTGAAGTGTTTAACAGAATACACTGTTTTCAAAAAGTATGCCTGGTAAACTTAAGAAAGTGGTTACTTTTGGCATGCTGTACTTGGATCATGGCCCCTTTTAAATGGAATAGGCCAAAACTCTATTTTTAGAGCGAGGGGGGCCTTTGTTAGACAGATACCCTTACTATACACATTTTCATCCTTAAAACTAGAAAGTGGGAACCTGACCTACTGGTTATACAGGTGCACACAAATCGCTACCATTGACATCTACATGTACATGTACGTACGGTCGAGGGATTTCGGATGTCTAAATGTTGGACCGTGGACGTGTACGAGAGATGGTTTCAAAAAAAAGGTCATGATGACTGTTTTTTCCTTCGTGACTTTGAAATGGAACTCACACACATGCACCTGCCGTATATTTGATCATTTGGTGACATTTTCCAGACTTACTCTTCTCTGAATTCCGAAGGATTTATCAAATTTTTGGCTCAAAGTTAGAGTGGACAAGAGTCAGTCTGGCAGCGTTTGTTGACCACGGCCTGACCCCAAACCCAGTGACAGCGAGTGTGTCGTTTGGTCCAGACCGTAGTTGGCTGCATGTAGACAGTGAATTGGCCAGGTGAGTCGCTCAATCACGATATGTACATGAAGGTTAGGCCACGATTGGTTAGTTCGTGCACAGCCTTGAAAATTGTTTTAAATAGTGTCAACTGTAAATAAAATCCATTTTGTATGTCCAATATTTGATTCGGCCTAGGCCCCTAGCATTGCTTAGGACTTTTTTTAATGTCATGAATGTGCAGGATTTTAACAAGGCTGCTCGGAATGAAACAAATTTTCTTATTTTCAAGTTCTGAGAATAAGTTTTTCGGGGTTGTTTGGAAAACGCCGTGGCTGTTGTTACGGCAGATGTACCGCTTCTCCCATTTTCTATCATTAAGGCACTGCAACTGCGCAAGTGCGCCAACTGAAATGCAGAATTCGGACTTAATTTCCCTTTAAAAAAATCCTCAAATGAGAAAGGAAAAAAAGATTCCTGCTCAGGCCAAAACAATTAGAAACCAACATACAAAAAAAAACCAATTATGGTCGCCCCGTCTCCACCTCGCCCCATCCCCACTTCGCCCCATTTCCACTTCGTCCCATTTCCACTTTGCCGTTCATGCTCGAGTGTGTTACAAGCCTCTTCAAAAAATTGTTGACGGGAGTTCCACAAATAACATCTAGATATTATTGAGAACTCTACAGCATTGAATTAATGTTGACTACATTGGCCATCATCGTGAATTAATACATATATGGTTGGACTAGCATCAGGGTTATTTCTCATCACGTACATATAGTGTACATGTACGGTCACCGCGGCATGAATAGACTGGTTGCCACACTCCATCACGCATTCTCTTACACGGGTGCTGCGCGGCGGGAACCAGTGCTTTGCTCACGTGTTTTTACCACAGCGACAAGGATATACGAAGAAACTGTTATATTTCTAAACTTGCCAATTAAAATTTTAGAGTCGCGCCAAAAAATTAGGGTCTGGCTGTCGGGAAATCGGAAGCATTGTTTTGGCCTCTGAAAGTACTCAAACGTCGATGTTTTTACTTGTGGCATCTACATGTAGGCCTATGGCTCTGTTACTGAAGAACAGAATGAATGATAATCAATGGGGCGAAGTGGAAATGGGGCGAAGTGACCGACATCCGGGAAAATTAGTGCTGTCCGTAATGGAACTCTTACCATATACCTTACAAATGTAAAGTACATGTATATACATGTGAAAGTAATGTTAGCCCTAACCTGCATGTACACGTACATGTACATGTACTGGCGTACATAACCCATTCCATAAAGGGTTCCGCATGAAGGAAAGGGCAAAGATCTTCAGGGATGAAGGGGGCTGGGGAGGAAGGGACAAAGCACAAATCCATCCCTGCCTCAGCTAATTGACAAACTATGGTATCAACCATTGATGGGGCTCAATTCTAAACAAATTGTTGATTTTGATCTCTTTTCCTCATTTCCTCTTTAACTTTTTCCTTTCTACCTTTTTATGTTGTTCCGTTTTGTTGTTTTTTTTGGGGGGCGGCAGAACAAGTGCCCTTCCTTTGTCCTCTCCTTCCCACAGTGCTGACACAAATACATGTACTCCTAACTAGACAAAATTGGAGAAGCTGGAATGACAAAGTTCAAAATAATAATTTTGACAATCTTTTCAATGCTGTAAATGTGGAGCTTGTCCGTATTTCTAATTGAATCAATTATTTAATTCAAAGTAAATACACGTACATGTAAATTATCCTGAAAAACTTTCTGCCATTTGGAAGAGGAAGAATAAGTAATCTTCCTGGTACTTTTATGACTTTTTTCCTTGTTTGTAATTTTTTTCCAAATGCTTCAATATTTTCCCTGCTAAAGTGTTTCCTAGAACATGTTGTCACATTCTGATAGCTAATTCACCACTTCAAGGAAAACTTGGTGATATCTGCATACAGACCTCTTAACCAGTATATTATAGTACATGCATTTGTTAATGTGTGACTGAGACAAATATTACAGCTTGCATTAAATATAATATGATTCTTTCAGAATGCCATAAATCTTGTTGAAATTAAAATTTGTTTTCATGTATAGTTTATCTAACTAAGAGATGATTGAATTCATATTTACATGTATCATATTACCTTGTACCCGCCGTGTACCGGTACATGTACAAGGTACCGGTATTAATGATAATTTGGAAAAAATACCCTATCCAGTCTGTACCGTATATTATGTACTGCAGAATACAATTCTGCATACTCAGAATGGTTGTTTCACTGTAAACTTTTATTGCTTGTTATGTGTCTATGGTAAAAACAAGCTTACGATCAATGCACTTGTAGACATTTGATCGACTCCTGTACTATTTACTATGTACACTGTACATGTAGAGGTTGCACTGTAAAGAACTAGTGCAGAGATCTTTCGTCAGGGCCAATTACAGATTGTGTGGCACATAAAATTCCCAGAGACCAAGGTGCATGCTTCATGTACATGTGATACTCCTGCACATTGCACAGGAATGTTGCAGTAATTATGGTCACAAATTGGCAAGTGAAAGGTGGAGGGATATGGGTTGCTCTGGATGTGGATGGACAAGTGTAAAGACTGCATTGT